TTCCATGAATGCATTTACTCTGTCAGCAATGAATATTGCACTTTTCTCTATTTGGACCTTGAGGAAGAGAAGTGCTCCATTTCAGATATGTTCCAATTGCTCACCGGATCGGAGGCATCAGCAGCACTCAGAGTGATTCTGTGGATGGAGGCAGTGTCTGACACTACAGATGTCTTCTAGGGCAGATGAGCTCATATATTGCAAATGATGTGCCCTGTGTTTATCTCCTTGATATTTCAGTTTAGGCTTGCTATGTATTTACGTAAAATTTTCTGTTGCCAGGTAGGGCATACTACCTACAAATTTTACTTCACGACAGTAAAAGGGACTTACTATTTGTTAAAAAGGGAACATTGGGTTTGATAGGGTTGATATTTATTGGGCCAGCACCAGTTGAAGGGAGCTGGCAACCTCAAATGGCCTCAAAATTGCAGTCAGGAAGGACATTAAAAGTGTCTGTTTGGGCTCTGGGAAGAAAGGATAAGAGTTTTATTTTTGTCTTAATGTAGCAGTAATAAACTAGTTCCATTTGGTGAAAAAGGGCTCATTCCTTTAAATTTCGCCTAATCACACCTCTGTATTCATAGTGTTTCTAGTCTTACAGGGTCAGATGGATTCATTCTAAACTAAAAATACCCTCAGCCCTAGGTCTAGGAAAAGTCAGGCAGTCAGCCTTATGCTGTCTGAGTCCAAAGAATCTCACTTGCCAGGAAGAGCCACTTAACTTAATGTTAGGCAGCCATCCTTCCAAGAGGTTGTCCCCAGCTGCCACAGCATGGCCTCTTACCAGACCCACTGTCTTCCAATTTATCCCATACTCAGCAAGAAACTGAGATCATCATTTAGTGTGTATTCAGAGCTACAGCCGTTACAACAACCACCATGAGAATAAGGAAGAAAATTCAGTGGAAAGTAGACTTTGTTGATCAGGGTCTTTCTATTGGCACCGATGCCAGAAATGAGTTGACAATTCAGTGACACCCATGACTGAATAATCACTTTTGAACCTTTCTAGAGGGTCGATTCTGACATTCTGATCTCTTATTTTTGTGTCTGCTTTTTAGAGGACATTTTCCAAAATATTTTTGGACTTCTTGATGCTTTCTTTCTTTTCCTTCTTTCTTTTGTTTAGCAAAGCCAAAAGTGAAACATTACAACCCTAATGAAGCAAGGGTGGATTTGGCAACAAGTACTAACCTTAAAGACTAACACAGTGGACGCTTCCAATTCCAATATTTCCTTTACGGTTGTTGGTATATGTTGGGCAATTTTAAGGTAATAAAATTGTAATGAACTTTCTAAATGAAGCTGCCTTTGCTGACTGCTCCGTGAGAAAAAATGGAAGTAATTTGGGAGGATTGAGACTAGCTGTTGCTTTCTGTCTCTCTCTCCCTGTCTCATAGACACTCACTTGCTCCTGCTCTCATAGTTGGCCTGCCAATACCCCTTTGTCCCTGAAAACCTCTTATCAACTTCAGATCTCAGGCGTAGGAAATGATACTTTCGTCATGCTGTATATAACCTGCTCCCTGCATTGTGAAAAGACAGATTGCCTTTTACCTTCACTTGGAAATAAAAAAAAAGAGAAAAGAAAAGGAAGGGAAAGGAAAAAGAAGGATAGCTGGATTTCTTCAAGGAAAGGATGAGAGTTGGAAAAGATAAATTACTAAAAAAAAAAAAAAATGGCCAAGGGAGAGGTGTTAAATGGACTTCCTCCTAGGAAACTCTAGAGGAGGAATAAGTGATCATGCACAATTCCAGATGAGGGACGGTCCCCTGGATTCAGGTCTACAGAGTCCCACAGAGCCCTGGATGGAAACTTTAGGACATGGCAATGAATTCTGTGCCTTTTAATTTCCTGAAATGAATCACTTTGAAGTTGTCCCTTCTGAAAATGCCAGCTAGATACAGCTAACATGACTATCAGATAGAAAAACAAAGGCCTTTCTTCCCTGGGTCTGAAAGCATAATTTTTTTGCAGTTTTGGAAGCTGTCAATTCGACTTAGGCAAAGGGTCGGGCTCTGGATCCTAGCTCTGGGAGGGGAGAGATTTTTGGTATAAAGCTCTGAAATGGCATTATTCTTCTAGAATGTGACTTTTTTTTTCTTTTTGATGAACAATATAATGCTTCTAAGGCAAGGATATCTCAAATTATCCCCAGACATTTTCTGATACCACTGGTGGAGCTGACAAAATTTGAGGTGGGTTGACCTACCTCTCTTCACTACTTCTCATAACCCACATTGAACATGCCTTTCTCCATACTCTCCCGGTCCGTGACACCCAGTGAGTACTTAATTATATGCCTCCTGGCACTGCTCTCTGTATTAGGTGAAACTCCTTCAAAAAGAAATAGAAACCCAACTCAACCTACCTTAAGAAAAATGAATTTATGGACTGAGAACAAAAATGTCTAGGCGTCAGTAGCCATTAGGCATATCTAGATGTCTGGGCTCAAGTGCTGTGTCTAGACTCCATCTCTCTCAGTCTCTTAGCTCTGCTCTTCCCTGGTTTTACTTAATTGAGGCAAGCTCTTGCCATGTGTTAGCAAGTTGACCGCAGCAGAGAGATTCTCTTTCCAAAGAGTTCCCAAAATAGAATTGATTAGCATTTATTGGATTTTTAACATGTACCAGGCATGATTGTGAGCACTTTATGCTTATCTCATTTAAGCTGGCTTATAGTCCTACGGGTAGATGTTATTTCTCTAGGGTAGGCCAGTAAAGCTCTTTAAAGAGGTGACATTTGAGTTGAGACTAAAGATGAGTAGGATGTTACCATTTCCAAAGGTTGGAAGGGGAGGAAGGGAAAACAGTTCTTTATTCAAAATAGGTAATGAATTAATTAAAAATACATATTGAGCATACTGTATGCTAGGCACTATTCTAGGTGCAGGAGACATAGCAGGGAAAAAAACAGACGAAAGCCCATGAACTCCTGGCACTTATATTCAAGTGGAAGAGAGGGACAAGAAGCAGATAGCCAAATAAGTATGTGTTAGACAGTAATAAGTACAATGTTGAAAAATGAAGCAGAATTAAGTGATGAAGGTGGGGAGTACTTGGGGAGGTTGGTGTTATTTGGTATAAGGTGATTGGAGAAGGTCACTCAGAAAGAGGTGTTTGAACAGACATAAAGGAAGTGAGCGAGTGAACCATGAAGCTATCCTGGGGAAGAGTGTTGCAAGCAGAAAACAGCAAGAGCCAAGGTCCTAAGATGAGATGTGATGGTACATTTGAGAAACACACCTATGGGAACAGAATGAACAAGAAGGAGAGTAGGAGAAGAGGCAGTGGGAGATGCAGTGGGGGCCAGAGGATACAGGGTCCTGGAGGCCACTCTAACACCATCAGCTTTCATTTTTAGTGAGATGAAAAGCCAATGGAAGATGTGAGCAGGCGGGCTATAGACTTGACTTTATTTATAATAAAATACAATATTGCTTTGCCTGCTGTACTGAGAATTTACCATAGGACAAGGGATGGAACTAGAAAAATAATTTGGAGGCAAGAGCAATAATCCAGGCAGGAGAATTTGGTGGCTTAGGCCATGGTGGTGGCAGAGAAGTTGATGAGAAGTGATCGGCTCTTCAATGCATTTTGAAGGCAGAGCCAGCTGGACTTGCCAACTATAGGATGTGAAAGAAAGCGAGAGAAATCAAAGATGTCTCTGAGGGTTTGACCTGAAGAAATGGAAGGAAGATTATGGTCATTTGCTGAATGATGGCTGTGGGAAGGACAGGTTTGAGAGGGGAGATCAAATCAATTTCAAATATCCAGTTTCAAGATGCCTATTAGACCTGCTGTGATTGGTCTCCCTGCCTGCCTGCCCTCTAGTTGTGGATTTCCAGCAGATGGAATCAGTCAGTGCTTTTTTATTGTCCCTGCGTCCAGGACACAGTAGAATCTGACATGCAGCAGGAACTTAAATTTTGCCCAGCAGTCGAATGAATGGTGTGAGATAAGATTAGAAAGGAAAGTTGGCCCCAGGACATGAGAGGCCCTTGTGGGTGGAAATGAAAAGTCACTGAGGATTTTCCAGCAGGGAAGTAATACGGTCAATGGTTCAGTTTAGTAAGATTGACCTTGTCAGTGTCTCCTTCTACCTCTGGCCCATTTAGGAGGCTGCCACCACCTACCCATTGGAAATCTGCTCTCCCAGACCTTCCTCTTATTCCCAAATGTGTATTGTCCCCACATACAGGATAATGACCATGAACTTGTGGCTCATAATCATTTGGACCTGGTGTTTGGACTGGGATTTCTTGGAGTTTCAATGCTGACTTTCTTTATTGGGTACATGTGTTCCCCCAGTGCTGTGGAGTCCAGCCCTTCTGCTGGCCACCTCTCCAGACTACTGCTCGACCTGTGGGGGGATCCAGATAGCAGCACGTGCAGTTAAGACAGAAGGAGGATGGAGGAAGGGGAGGGATGGCCACAGAGTCATGAAGCCACTCACCATGTAGGGGGCAGTGGAACTGCCAAGAACAAAATACAGATTCTCTTACAAAAGGAGGGAAAGCAGGTATACTTGCGTTGACTTTTCTCCATTTAAGTATTACACATGGTCATAAACTTTTATTACCTCATGTTAAATTTTGTACTGAACATTATTTGAGCTGATTCTTCATGAACTCTAAACCCTTTATGATTTTTCTTCACACCACCCTTTTTTCCCAGTTGGATTCTCACAGATTATTTTTCACAGTCAGCTCTTTTTCATTTGTTCTGTATGGTGTTATCTTGAATAATAACTAGCTACATGGACTCGAGGAAAATACATTTCGAAGATAATAGTTCATCCTTGTTTTTAGCTTTGGAAAAAAAAAAAACCCAAATCTACAATTGTGTTCAGTATTACAAGTAATTTAAAAGCAGTAATTAAAGTGACCTAGAAGATAGATTGCTTCACGCTTTTCTCAATACAAGATTCGTTCATTTGTCATCTATTTCAGTTTTTGTCTTTGTAAGTATTTTTACCCTCATCCTTTCCAGCCTCCCCTCACCTCCTGGCAGCTATAACATTCAGCACAAAAATCTGGTCAAGGTGGGATCAGTGGGCTAGAGGTCTCAAGAAATCCACACTATGTTGATACTGCTTTAGATATAGATGAGATCAAAGTGCCCAAACTCTGCTGAGCAGAAAGATTCCATGAGACACTTAATAAAGCCATGGATGTTGGACTCCACCCTCATAGGTCCTGATTCAGTCTGTAGTAAGCCTGGGAATCTGTATTTTAACATGCTCCCCATGTAATTATTCTGCATACCTATATACGAGAGCCACAAAGCTACACTTTTCTTTTGAATCAGACACTGCTTGGATTTTAAGTACTGGTTTTGTCCGGCTATCCATAAGTAGAACATTCCAATGAAAGCTTCCCAAACAAAATGTCATAAAGTGAAGAAGCATCAACATTTATTTATATGGAAACATTTTTGAGCATTCCCAGACCCCAAAAATAACCTCTCGGGCTTTTCTGATACCTTAGGACACATCTTGCTAACAAATGCACAAAATAAATTGAAATAAAGCAAAGACAGACACAGACACAGTTCAAAGTTCTGGTGGCTTGATGTTAAGATGATGAGTGTGGTTCTGGGGAAGGAGCTCGGTGGGACCCTCTCGCTGCTCTGGGTGCTCACGTCTTGCTATTTTCACCTTTTATCATAAAAGCAAAAGTCCTCTTTGGATTTCTTCTGGTTAGTGAAAACGAGTACTACTGTAGGTCTTTCATAAAAGCAAAGTGGTGTAATGTGAACTTTCAAAAAGTGGGGGACACCTCTATAGTAGTTTCCTGATCCTCTTGTCTGCTATTTCCTTGGGGGGGGCTTCAGTTCCTCGAGGTCTGGAAACAGAGGATTCTCCTTCTGATGAATTAGCAGAAGGTCAGGAGTAGGCTAATGCTACGTCATGACGCCCATGTCATTCACCTCACTGCACTGCGGGTTTATCATCTCACATCACCACAAGAATAAAGGTGAGTACATACAGAACAGTCAGATATTTTGAGAGAGACCGTATTCATATAACTCTGATTATAGTATAATGTTATAATAGTGTTATTTGTTATTTGTTGTTGTTCATCTTTTACCGTGCTTTATTTACAAAGTAAACTGTATCATAGGTATATATAGGAAAAACAGCATGTATAGGGTTTGGTGTCATCCATGGTTTCAGGCATCCACTGGGGGATCTTAGAATGTATCCCCACAGATAAGAGGGGACTACCGTATTTTATTTCTTCTGTCCCTACTGCTGATACCGTTGCCATTATCTGGCCCATCATTTTTTTTTTAAAGATTTATTTATTTTTTTATTCATGATAGACATAGAGAGAGAGAGAGAGAGGCAGAGACACAGGCAGAGGGAGAAGCAGGCTCAGTGCAGGGAGCCCGACGTGGGACTCGATCCCGGGACTCTAGGATCGCACCCTGGGTCAAAGACAGGCGCTAAACCGCTGAGCCACCCAGGGATCCCCCTGGCCCATCATTTTAACTGTAGGTTTAGCTGTGTGTGTGTATGTGTATGTGCATGTTTCTAGGAGGACCAATCCTGGCCTAAATAGAAGAGACTTAAGTATTGGTGATATTAAATATGTGTAACAACTGGTCCTTGGTGGTAGCCTGAAGTGGAGGCTGCAGTTCCAACACATGGCCTCATAGGGAGACATCCAGGGAGAGGCTAATGGGCAGCCGCAATCTTGGGGAGAGGGATACAGATTGACTTCCCCTGGGAGGCCGGTGCTATCAATAGGGGTTCCTTGTGGAGTCAGGTGGAGCATTGGAGAAGGGCTGATTGGCCCTATGTGTTTGTGGTGGTTAGAAGAGGGGAAGGAGGCATTGGTTGAAGGTGAGGGGGGAATGCAAAAAGTAGCTAATTATCAACAGGAAGGTATTATTTCAATGTATTGATTACTGTACTGTAACAGAATATCTAGGATCTGTAAAACTTTATCTGAGCTCCCTGGAGTTTAGCTCCCTTGTTCTATTCCACTCCCAACCATATGCCTTCATTCTGAGACCTTGGTTTTCATGCATAAGTCCCTGCTTGATGATCTATCCATTTTTCAGCTCCCCTACGATCAAGGCTTGTCTGGTTTGGCTTTCTGTTTTTTTTTTTTTTTTTTTCTCTAGTTATAATTGTTGGTGCTGGGGCAGCTATCTGGCTTCTGAACTACGGGGGAGCAGGCACCCAGACTGCTAACAGGCTTTTGTGAACCTGACTTCTGGTCTGGTGCCTGCCACCTCCTCCCCTGAGTCTATACCCTGGCAGACCTGCCCCTCCAACTTTGGCCTCATTCCCTGCAGATAATGAGGCCTTGCCCAGCCAGATCCCAGGTTTATAAGACTAGAGCAAATAAGCAAAGGAGTATTTCTCTTTTCCCTTAGAAAAAAATTTGAGTTAAAGTTTTTCAAAATCGAATGCAGTCTTGAGGCCAGTAGTCCAGAAAAGGTGTGTGATTCTGTCTTCAGTCAGCATATCATAGAACAAATAAAGATCCTATCAGTAGATTGTCCAAATGATCCATTTGGTTTCTTTCTTTCTTTTACTGTCACCAATGGTGAAATCTCCTGGATTCAACTGGGAAAATTAATCTAAGGAAGATATTATTGCAGATGACAGTCATAGTTCATTGGAACACTTTAAGAAAAACTAACAAATAAAAAACAGACAAAAAAACTTGTTCCCGAACAATAATGTAAGTGAATCATCAATCCAGATAACATATGCACACATACACACAAGAGTTGGGGTGCAAATGGTAGGCATCCAAGCTGGCCATACACAGAATTAAAAATGAGGTTGCTGGCAGAGATTTTTAAGGTCCACGATAAGATGGGACCCTTCCTCTTCTTTACCTGGGTAACAGTAGATAACCTATTTGCCTATTTTTCTGTTTGGTAGTTGGCTTTGTTTACTTACTGATGTGCAGGAGCTTTTTTTTTTTTTTAATATTTGAGAGAGACAGAGAGAGAAAGAGATCATAAATGCAGTAAGGGCTAGAGGGAGAGGAAGAAGCAGACTCCTGCTGGGAGCTGCAGACTCCTGCAGGGAGCTGGATGTGGGGCTGGATCCTAGGACTCTGAGGATTGTGACCTGAGCAGAAGGCAGAGGCTTAACCCACCGAGTGGTGCCCCAGAACTCTTTTATGTTAGGGAAGGTAGCTCTCTGTGATTTGAATGACATTTTTCTAGTATTTGTTCCTCTAATTCTGCCTGTGCTGATTTCTGCCAACAGCAATTTTGATTTTAATATTGTCCCTCTCTATATTTATCGGTATATTTTTATAACATTTGTTTTGTCATACATAAATAGTGGCTCTAAAGCTAGTTTTGAATTCTTTTATTTCTTTAGTATATTTATTGTATTATGTTTTGCAGTTACATCTTTGAGCCATCTGAAACTTATATCGGTATAAGGTATGAAGAGTAGATCCAACTTATTTATCTTGGGCAGACGGCTACTCAATTTTTTCAATTTCCTCTATTTAATAATCCATCCTTTTTCTCCATAAAACTGAAAAAAATTAACACCCATATAGCAATTACTATGTGCCAATAACTATTTAAAGCTGTTTGTAGGTATTAACTTATTTAGTGGTCTTAACAGTCTTTAGGGCGTATACTATTATTATTCTTATTTTACAGATCAGAAATCAGGGCAGAGCGAAGATAAGGAACTTGTTCAAAGTCACACAGACACAGATCCAAAATCAATGCTATTAATCGATACGCCGTTCAGCTACCCATAACATATTGAGTGATTCTCTTTATTTATTTTTATTTATTTATTTTTAAAAAGATTTTATTTATTCATTCATGGAAGACACAGAGAAAGAGGCAGAGACATAGGCAGAGGGAGAAGAAGGCTCCCTTCAAGGAGCTGATGCAGGACTCAATCCCAGGACCCCAGGATCATGCCCTGAGCTGAAGACAGACACTCAACCGCTGAGCCACCCAGGTATTTTGAGTGATCCTCTTTAAAGCCCATGTTATTTTATTGCTAAAATCTCCAGTAGCTTTTCATTATTCTTAGATTAAAGGAATGTATCTTTACTGTGGATTATAAAACTCGCCGGAATCTGGTCCCTGCCTACATCCCTAACCTTAATTTGAATCACTTGCCTCCTTATATTATGTTCCTGTCAAACAGATTTTACTTTGGTTCTTTCTTGCCCCAGGGCCTTTGCACATACTCCTAATATCAGAATAATTTTCCTCTTCTCTGTAAGCTTGCTTCTCCTCAGGGAGATCCTCCTTGAGCAATCTAAGTAAAGGAGTTTGCTCCTTACTCTTCTGTATTTCAGCTCACCTGTGTGTATCCTTCAAGCACTTGTCATAGTTTATAATTGTTTTGTTTTGCTTATTTGTATTTTGTCTAAACTCCTAAAACTATGCTACATGATGCAGAGACCATATGTGTCTTGTACCTTCTTGTATCCCTAACATTAAGCACAGTGAGTGACATATTTACATAATAAATATTTGTGGAATGGATGAATGAAAATTGCTGCAGATGTTTGTCTTACACAGTAATGGGGAAATATAAAAGTAAACATAAAACAGAAATACATAATATATGCTATTAAAAGCAAATTATCAATTTATATCAACAAATATTTACAGACAACCCACTATAGAACTAGCTTCTTCAGCTCTGTGCCATTCTCTGTACATCTTCCTTCCTCAGAGATTCTTTGACATGTTATTTTACTTAGTTGTTTTCCTTCCTTGATCAAAAATGGAAGGGTGTGAAGCCAAAAATAAACTGAGGTGTCTTTGTGCCCCCTTTACCCAGCACACTGACTGATATGGTTTATTTTTTATTTTTTTAATTAATTAATTAATTAATTTATTTATTTTTATTTATTTTTTTTATTTTTTAAAATGACAATATTGTAAGAGGGGAAAAATGCAAAAAGTTGTAACTCATGGTTCCTGAATGTAAGGAGTTTTTTTCTAAGCTAGGCTAGCGGACAAAGCATAAATACATTAAAAGTAAAATGACATTTAAGATATAAAAAGAACTCAAGACAACAATATAGTCATGATCTTAGAAACTAATTACAAATATTGAGTTGCTTGGAAGTTTGGAAGAAACCTTTTCAGACTGGGAAGTCAGGAAGAATTTCTATGGTGAAACTAGGGTTTACATTTATTCTTGAAGAATGATAGGATTTGGATAATATCAATAGAATCTACCTTCGACTGTTTGCCACTAATGAGGTCTATTTCTGTAATGCATTGACTTTTTTTCTAAAATGGAAGCCACTTAAAAGTCTATATAGATTTCAAAACTGAGTAGGTGGCATTTTAATTGGTAGCATTATCAAATTAAAAAGTAAAATGAATAAAAAGCAAGAGTTTAATAAATGAATGCTTGAAATAACTGTGATTTATTACCCTCTGCATATAAAAGGATTGGTCCATGGAATTTCACAAGGAAAAAATGTGTGATTACCACCTTTCAAGCTCAAGGGGATAAAGAAAAGAATTGCTTTGGGATTTGATTATTCCACCTCTTCAAACTTACTTTTGAAAAGTCCAATTCTTAAGTCCATTTGGGCTGTGAGAATAGAGTTCTCTCCAAGAATGGAATCTTCTGCAAACACATAGAGCTTACACCTGAGGATGCCAAGGACAAGCGGATATCTGTGCTTATGTGGCTGAGAACATGCACATGGGGAAATCCTGCCTCTGCAAATGGAGGTCTCTGAGTGAAATAATTTCTCTGTTAGAGCTCTGCCAGATTTTCAAGAACTAAATCAATTTACTAAAAATCATTCAACAAACTGAAAAGAAAAAGATGTTATAATTTTGACTCTTCAATTTAGAAATTTTTTTTTTAAAGTTGGGACAACCTTGGGGATTTTATTTTATTTTATTTTATTTAAGATTTTATTTATTCATTCATGAGAAACACAGAGAGAGGCAGAGACACAGGCAGAGGGAGAAGCAGGCTCCATGCAAGGAGCCCGACGTGGGACTCCATCCCGGGACTCCAGGATCAGGCCTCGGGCCGAAGGCGGCACCAAACCGCTGAGCCACCCGGGCTGCCCTCAATTTAGAAATTATATCTGAAATTGGCTAACTACCTTCAAAGAAAAAAATGGATGGGCTCAAGGCAAGGATCTAGTTTTCTAGATTAATGTATGTTTGGAGGATGTATATTGAGGGAATGCTCTGGATGAAAATAGTTCCCTGAAGCTGTGTTTGAGGAGTGATGTGATATCATTCTAAGATTTGGATTAGGGGTAAGCAGAGCCTACTTCAGTGGGCTATGTATGCAGTAGAGGGTAGACAGTTCTCTCTGATGCCCTCGTTTTGAAGTTATCTGGAGGCTTTTGTGACTGTTCTGGCCTTTTTTTTTTTTTAGAGATATTCATTCATTCATTCATTCATTCATTCATGAGAGACACAGAGAGAGAGGCAGAGACATACATAGAGGGAGAAGCAGGCTCCCCACAAGGAGCCCAATGCAAGAGTCCATCCTGGACCCCAGGATCACGTCCTGAGCCAAAGGCAGACACTCAACCCCTGATCCACTGAGGTGTCCCTGTTCTGGCCTTTTCTATTCAGAGTCCATGTTTTTCAGCTCATATAGCTCCCTAGGCATTATTTAATGGTCAAATGGTGTTCCAGCAAGGACTCATTTATCAGTTGCTAAGCCATGGCAAATTGCAAGGGAAAGGAAAACAAAGCTCAGTAGAAAGGGTTAGGGAACAGGTAAGGGGTTTATTTGCTAAGTCTAGATGAATAATTCGCTGAATTAAAAACATATATTCATGAAGAGTATCTCAGAAATGTGCCACATCAAGACCTCAATTTGTACCATGCCATGTTTTGATTTAGGGAACAGCCAATTTGACATGTCTGTGAAAAGCAAGAGTGTTGATTCTTTCACTCATGAAACCTACAGGAACTTCCAGGACTCTCAAATCCCCAGGTAAATAAAAGAGTGGCTTATGTTATTTTCTCAGTTGGTGTCTGTTTAGAATAAAATTGAGCTATTTCCTCAATGGCTAAAAATTGGTCACTGAACATTATCCAAACAAGGAAAAACACGTAGTCTCCTCAACTTAAATCTATTAACATCTATATTTTCTTAAGAGGTTGGCTTATGTTTAGACCTATACATAATTAAAACAAAACAAGATAAAATAAAACAAAAAACCCTCAGGTAAATAAGGCCAGTAAAGAGTACCTGCCCATTAACAACAACTTTATAGGGTTTTCAAATGAGTCACATAAAAGAGTAAGCTTCATGAATTAAATTTTAATGACATAAGTATATTTGATTTTAAGTAAGCAATTCTTATTGTTCTGGGCAAGTATACTAATTCCTGTTTCCTTTGATTCGCTAAAGTTTTTTTTTTTTTTTCTCAATGTTGAAAATTTATTTTTAAAAACATGGTATATTGTTTTGTCTCAGCATGTATGTCTAGTCAGATGGGTTCCCATCAAAAGATACTGGGAGCTGTTGTCTCAAATGATGTCAAATTATGTCTAAAAACATCAGCTTAACTGGTTGTTTGTTATCTTATAGGCAAAAGCACCATTAGGTGTTCTAATTTCTTTCTCTTTAATATATTTTTTTTTAGATGCATGTGTAGCTGGAGTCTGGTCTAGTCCAGACAAAATAAGTACCTAGTCAGGTCGGAAATTATGGCCTTGTGCTTTGTTTCTGATGTTAAAGGATGTTGAGTCTTCCCAATGAAATATCTTGACTTTATATTGAATGTATGAAAACCAAGGGCTGATGGTTATCAATGATGGTAACTTTCATTTATTAAGCTCTCAGATGTTTTATGTATTTTTTTCATTACTCCTCACAAGTGGCTCTGTGCAGAAAGACACCATCATCTCTATTTTGCATATGAGGGCCCTGAAGCTTTGAAAGGGTTTAAGCAATGTTCCCAGGGTGGTGTACGCCAGCAGTGAAAACTCCATTTCCCCTGCCCTTAGTCACAAGCTCTTGTCAATACTCCATAGTTCTTGAACTTTTGGATTTCATGAACCAGTAAAACTTCAAAAAGCAAAAAAGAAATAAGCAAAAATCCCTGGGACTAAAATAAGATTGACAATTTTTTCACATGTCCAAATAAACAGAAAATAAAAATAAAAAGAGACAACCATCACCTATTCTTAACACAATTTTATAAAAGAAAGGGTGTTTAATTATATTTGTTATATTTTAAAATGTCAGAATGTCTCATTAGTTCATATTACTTTGTGGTTTTGAAAGGCCAGAACCTGTGAATATGTCTGATTTCTTATCTGGAGGGGAAGCTTTCTTTGAGCGTGTGTGCAGCTAATGTATCCCAGGACATTTCAATCACAAAGAAGTAAGAAGGTCACATCTTAGAACAAAGAACAGTTCTTCCTGGGAAAGGACAGTTGGTAACTTACACCAACATGCTTATATAAACACTAGTCGACCTTATCTTTCTCATTTTGTCAAAGACTGGTGAAAACTGCCATGGCCCAGTGCACGTTTGAGAACCAGCAGTGGGGAACTGTGTTGAACAAAACCTTGCCTTCCTCACCTGCGTTTTTGAGATAGGGAGACTGAAGGATGGCCAGGTATCGATGGCAGTCTCACCTTCTAGCTGTGCGGTGTAAGAAATGCCTCCTCTCCATGCCTACGGGGACAACTGCAGTACTGTAGTATCTTCCACAAAGTTTCCCTGTGTTATCAGAAAACACAGCCTTTTCCCCATTCCCTAAGGCAATAGACTGAATTGGGTTTTCCTTTCCGCTTTATTGTTTTCAGATGTTTGCTAACTCTCAGCTCACCATTTTCTTTCACTGATAAATTTGAAGGAAATTACAGCCCCTGCACATAGAAGGCCAGAAGTGTCCCCTCAAGCCTCTAGATAACAAAAAGGGACTGTTGCTTTCAACTCTGGGATCGACAAACAATTGAAAAAAGGGGTAGCTCCATCAATGGGAGCTGGAATGATAACTCCTTGTTGGAAACAGCCAACAGTGAATATAATAAATCAGTTTTCAGAGCTTATATGAACCCAAGGAAGTTTTCCTCAGTGTCATTAAATTCAGTTAATGACAACGTTACTTACGTATGTGCAAGTGCAAAACCAAGTATAAATTCTTGATGTTTATATCTCTTTGAATTGTAAAATTAAAACAAATTTACAAACTAAATAACAATTAAACCCTAAAACCAATTAAGACCCAAATTAACAACATTAAGTCGATGTGACGTAGATGAAGTTTTGTTGAAATTAAATTGCAACTCACAGTTTGAATATGTCCTGGACAGCCACAGTACGGGTTTTGGAATTTGGCATGCTTATGTGGTTGCATGCAAGGGATGGTCCCAATTCTTGCCCCATTTCTCCATTTGAACTGCAGAGAAACTTTGTGGAAGTTCCTGATTTGCTTTCATTTGGCATAAGTGCATATTTTATTTATAAGTCTGCCTCTGTCTTTTTCTCATTAGCCTATGTCAGTTAACATACTAGTTGACAGTCAAGGGATCTTGAACATACACACAAAGAAATAAAGTTGCAGTTTCCAAGAACCTCAGTACAAGGGACATTTCCTTTTTTACAGTTTTTCCTGCTGCCTGGGCTTGGAAGAATTGGGAGAGACTTTGCTCCATCATTGTACCTCACAACTTGAATAGTATATAGCTATTAGCATACAGCAGGCCTTCAATGATATATGTTGAATAAGCGAGCAAATGAATATCAGCTCCAATAGAAGAAAGTAATGGTGTAATGCCAACTGGTATGCAACAGAACTGATGTGCAGGAGAAGAAAAATAATTTTCCCTCTACTCTTCAAAATGCTTAGCTGAATCCTTGTAATAAAAGACATATTAACAAGAGAAAAACAGATAAAAATTTATTAACATACATACTTCATGTTTACATGGAGATACCCTCAGAAAAATGAGTAACTCGCTGAGGTGGCTTAGAGCTCCAGCTTCAATACCTATTTCAGCGAACGACAAAAAGAGACAAAAATAATTATTTTTTTTTAGTTTGTTTTTTGAGACAAGTCTTTAAATGAGCCTACTTTGTGTTATAAGTTTCTCTAGCAACTTATTTTTTAGTATAATTTTGTCACTGTTTCAGTGTGTGATTGTGGCATAAGCCAGAGAATCACAGAGTAGTTAAGCTGGAACATTAGAACTTGCCTTCATTTCATGGATATCTTTCAAGAGAATATATGCAACATATTGCTTTTTGTGCACAAAGAAATAAATATGACTCAATGGCACACCAGCAAAATAGTAAACACTGTTTACTAATAGTAGAAAATATATATGTTTCAGATGGATATAGAACAATTTTTGCCTGCCTCCCTTCTGCTGGAGAGGACCTGTTCACACCGGGTACTCCTTCCAGCTCCAGCTTGTGCCAGAACTGGGTGGCTCATGTGCCCTGCTGGGTTGTCTCTCTTGCCTGAGGTAGCATCCACTTTCTAGCTATGTTCTTGAGACTTTATTAGCATCCGAATGGGTCTTTATATCATTTACTAATCCTATAGGATACTTCGGTTTTGCTGTTAATCCTTTTGAATATTTAAAGGAAGCAGCTTTGATTACCCATTAATCTAGCTGCTTTGTCAATTAATAGCTGAAAATTCATGTTCCTTTTGTTAGTATTTGTATACACCAGTTTCATTGTCCCCCCTTGAGTTTAGCTGGTATGCTTCTGTCTATAGTTATTCTTCTGAGTTTTTGCTCTCATGTGGATGGTAAGCCCTGAACTTGCTCATTTACAATTCCAGTCCCTCAGACAGTACTGCTGATAAAAAAACAAACAAACAAAAAAAAAAAACACTAAAAGATCTAATAAAATGTTCAGCCCTAATTTACCTCCCAAAAAAGGGGTGAGGAGAAGCTTTTGGCTTGGTATACGAGGTGACCTCACATGCTGGACAAGCAGGAAATAATTGCTGCCCATTTTGCACGTGTGGCTGTGCATGGCCAGACACTTCAGATGGTCAGTATAGGTGTGGGCCAAGCAGTGATCTGAAGTCGGGGAAATGAAATTGCTAAAGCCCAGCTGGGACCCTTCTACTATTACACAGTTAGGCAACTGGGCAACTGCACCATCGAGGGAAGCCTGAAGGCTTGTTTCAAGTCCCTGAAATGTTGTCAGGCTCCTCTCTGTTCCCAAAGCCAATTATTTGAAGTGATTGTGAGCTCCCACTTGCAGACAGGTTGGGTTCCAACAGTTTATTTCAAAGTCAGTTGTTTTGAACTTGAAAATAATTTTTCTAGCAAAAATATTAAAAGAAAGGAACAAGAGGCCAGCCCATAGAAATCTATTTAAATTCAGACCTCAATGAAATAAGGCACATCTGCCACGATGAGCACTAGAAGAATCAAATATTGTAGTTCAGGAATGAAGATTGTGTTTGCAAATCCACTAATTATAACAGAAAATAACCAAATTAATAACAATAGTTTCTTATTTATATGACATGGCTTTGACAATGGCACTTTTAATTAGATGAGGATGAAAGGAAATTTGAAGACTTGTGGAAATTATTGAGAGGAAATTCTCAGGATATTTAGAGGCTTTAGAAGTTAAAGAATAATTTTACTTTGAAACTTTACTTTGACATTTGTGCTTTACTAGCACCAATGAGCCACCATATGGTTCATTTTTAATCACAAAGGAGGATTGCAAAAAGAAAAGAGGGAGAATGTCTTAGGGTGGGCTTCCTGGAAATCAAATCTGTGTAGGAGAGGTTTATTGCAGAGCACATTGTCAGTGGACCCCTGGGGGAATGAAAGTAGAATTGGGGAAGGGACAGTTGGGCTGTGATGCAGCCACAATACAGGACTCTAAATTGATGCCATGGAGAGCCACAGAGCAGCACGGCCCTTCAGAATTGTCCCATCCTGAGGTTAGGGGCCAAGACTTCTATCTAGCCACTGCCCTGTCACTGGATCTGGGTCACTCC